CTAAGCCCAGGAGTTGGAGGTTGCTGTGAGCTATGTGATGCCACGGCACTCTACCAAGGGTGATAAAGTAAAACTCTGTCTCTACCAAAAAAAAAAAAATGTGTTCAGGCAGAATTCCCTTGAACAGAGACTCATGAATTCATTTTCATCTCTGTGTTTGTGTGTGCGAGAGATCTCTGTCCTTCTATGTTTTTGTTTCATGAGGGTGTGTCTTATTCTGACCTGGCTGCTATAACAAAATACCAAAATCTGGGTGAGTTTATATACAGTAAAAATGTATTTCTCACAGTTCTGGAGTCTGGTAAGTTCAGGATCAAATTTGGTGTCTGGTGAAGGTTTAAGTACTGGCTCCTGGACAGTTGTCTTTTTGCCATGTCCTCACATGTAGAAAGGGTAAGAGGGCTCTCTCAGGCCTCTTTTATAATGGCTCTAACCTTTGTAAGGGCTCTGCCCACGTGATCTAATCCCTCCCAAAGGTACCAACTCCTAATACTATATTACCTTGGGGGTTAGGACTTTTGTTTTTTAGTCAGAGTTTTACTCTCTTGCCCAGGCAGAGTGCCATGGCATCATAGTTCACAGCAAGCTCAAACTCCTTAGTTTAAGTGGTCGTCCTGTCTCGGCCTCCTGAGTAGCTGGGGCTATAGGCACCCACCACAATGACTAGGTAGTTTTTCTATTTTTAGTGGAGATGGGGCTCACTCTTGTGGGGGCTGGTCTCAAACTCCTGAACTCAAGCAATCCTCAGATTACAGACAGCCGCCTGTGCCTGGGCAGGGGGTTAGGCTTTCAACACACGAATTTTGGGGGGGAAGACAAATGTTCAGACCAAGCAGGGTGCAATGAAAAGAGCAGTGAACTGGGAGGCCATTCGTGCTTGCTACTACTCAGTTGGGATAGTCACTGAGACTAAAGTGACCATATAATTTATTATTTGAAGTCAGGAAGTCAAGTACTTTTAAGAATGAAAGGGCCAGGCTCAGTGGCTCACGCCTGTAATCCAGCACTCTGGATGGCTGAGGTGGGTGGATTGCTTGAGCTCACAAGTTTGAGACCAGCCTGAGCAAGACCCCATCTCTAAAAAACGGCTTGGCCTGGTGGTGGGTGCCTGAAGTCCCAGCTCCTAGGGAGAGTGAGGCAAGAGAATCACTTGAGCCCAAGAGTATGAGGTTGCTGTGAGCTATGACAGCATGATACTTTACCCAGGGCGACAAAGTGAGACTGTCTCGGAAAAAAAAAAGAAATGAAAAGGGTGTACCAAAGCTCACACCAGAACACATCATCATGCTGGACCATGCAGGCGCAACTGGATGTCTGTTTTCCTTGCCAAGATACTCTCTGAGCTTTAATTTCTTGACTCGAAAAGGGGAATGTGAACTGGGCGTCCTAGGAAAGAAGGAACATTCTGAA